GATAAATGAAAAAAAATATAATAAAAAGTAAAACAAATTAAAAAATATTTAAAAAAAAAAACAATTTAATTTAAAACTATTTACTTTTAAAATAAATCAAAGTAATGAAGAATGACAGCGGTTTTTTTTAATTAAATTACTTATGTATGTGAAATAAAAATATTACCCAATAGGTGATACAATGCTGGCAATCTGTGGAATGCCAAGTGCTGATGATGCTCCATACGGACCCTTTGGTGACCATCCCCATTGCTCAACTGCTTGCTAAATAAATATTAAAGCAAAATAACATAAATAATTAAATATTATACACGCAAATATTTTGATGTATGGATGGATGTCTGTATAAGGTATCTCCAGAATGGCTCAATAGATCTCGCTGAAATTTGGCATAGATGTAGAACATAGTCTGGAAGAACACATAGGCTACTAATAAAGTTTTTTTATTTCCGCGCGGAAGAAGTCGCGGGCGGCAGCTAGTCTATTATATATTCTATAATTTAATTATTAAAAAAAGGTTTATAATTACTTTTTAAATGAATCATTCTTTGTACCTTTATAGCATTAGCAGAAGCTAAGTTTGTGTTCCATCTAATTATATTATCACATCCAGAGATGTAGGTTTGTTTGAGGGGTTCATCAAAGCACACAGGATACAGGGTGCTCCAAATGGAGATGTCGGCTGCAGATAATTTCTCCTGTAACAAAAGAACAATACAGATATATCTAAGAATTTAAATGTAACATTATTAAAATTGAATACTAGTGGTTTTTAGTTTCACACAACATTCATGGTGTTACTTAACGATAACCTCCCATATAAATTGGAAAGTTAAGAATTTATATTCTTAAATTTTCAATTTATATAGGAATATAAATAATTATTATTATGATAAGTCATAATTCTTATGTCACAATGTTAGTTACCATACATCTCTGAAATGGCTTGACCGATTTTTATGAAATTTTATATAAGATCTAAGAATCAGTTACTATCTACTTTTAACCTCATAATAACTCTATTGTAATATAATAAAGGTCTAAATATAAGATTTAAAATATGAAACCAAACAACAAATACATACCCCAAGAATGTACTTGTTCTTTTGAAGTAATTTATCAAGCATTTGTAATGAAGACTGTAGAGCTTGTCGGATATCAGAAGCTACAGATTTGCCGCTGACAATGGCTGCAACTGCAGGCTGTAGACGTGTTGCTTCCCACTCAAGCATTTGTTGGCTGAAAAGAAAGTTATAACTAGTATGAAAATAAAGTCAAAACTAGTATACAAAGGCAAAAGTCAAAAGGATATACAGTTGTAATAATAGTCTTTATATAAATTATTGTATTGTTTATAAGGAAGTTTCAATTATGTGAACATGAAATAACAACCCTAATGTGGTGAGCTAGGTTGGCTGAAGTGATCCATGTCCTGACCCCACGCAAAATACGTGATAATCGCGGAAACCGTAAAACACTAGGGTGTTACAGAAAACACACATTGAGATGTTAGGAGTAGGCTCCTAACATCTCAATATGTGTTTTCTGTTATTTATGTTCCATTTCCACTTAAATCTATAATAATGTATTGGTTTGTGTTCTCTAGCAATAAAAGTTGGTCTTTATCGAATTACTGAGTAAGGACCTGATATCAAACATATTTTTGTGGTTTTATGGGTATTAATATCAATCAAAATATAAAAATGCATATTTATAAAATGGAAAATATTTATGTTGTTTATGATGTTCTTATCAAGAAAAGCTTTATGAAAAACTAAATACCATATACTAATAAATACTTTTTATACCCTTGTTATAACAATATAAATGCATAATACATAGTAGATATAAAAACGGAGTACCTACCATAGCCCATTTTCAGATAAATCCAGCGTTGGAAACAAGTACTGTACTGCGGCATTACTTGAGAAGAAAGTCAGCAAATCATCAACTTCCAGCAAAGGCAGAGATTGAGGTCCTGTGAAAATGCCGTCTGCAATGCAAGACAAGCACTCAGTACCAGCCCCCAATTGTTAGTTACATGCATACTTACTACTAATTTATTTACTTTTCTATTATTATTGTAACAAAGCAAACCACCAAGAACTATATAATATAATCTACTAGATGAAAGAACAAATTTTGTAGAATTTATGCACATCATTTTATCATGCTACATTAACTCTGTGTCCAACTGATAATATTGTCACATATGTTGTCAGTTAAATAATTGTGCTCTCAAACATTTATACAAATAAAATAGACCAAAATTCACAATTCAATCACCCATCAAATGGTGGAAACTTGACTGTGTAATTTAGACTAGAAGTGTAATAACATTGTCGAAAATTATTACTTAACCATTATAAAATACCTGATACAGAACTGCGCTTTAGCGTTGTAAGTACAGGTAGTCAAACGACGTGCAATAATTACAAATTCTGATGCAAGTAAAAAACATTTTTAAATTGTTATTTATACTTAAGCGAATTCACGCAAAATCACTAACAATGAAATGAAGTCACCCATTTAAAGTGTATTAATATTTGTGCAGTTTTTATCTCATAAAAATAATAAAGAAAATCCAAATACCTTCGAAAGAAGCGAGACATTTTTCCACTTTTTTGCCTGCCAGATGGGCAGCTATCAGCACTTTTAATGTTCCAGTATTACCGTGATTTGTATAGACCTTCATTGTAATTTCAATCTACTTTATGATGAATTTAAATTAAAAAATCTACACATAACCTAACCACTTCTTGGTTGGCACTTGTCACTGTAACTTACACATTGCAAAATTTTTGACACATGACACTGATATTGACAGTGACAGTAAAAGTCAAAGTTACACGTGTCCTAAGTCCAAGAAAAATCTTATCAGTTAAGTTTTAAATAAAAAACGTAATAAAACTTGGGCGATTGAAATGAAACAAAATACGATTTTAAGAAATTTATTTCTTAAAAACTAAATAAATTTTAATTTGTCTAAGACATTTCTACATATCTAAATTCTTAAGTTACATAAATATCGATTTGGAATAATAATAACTTAAAATAAAATATAAAAATGCATTAAGAGTTTAACTTACACATTTGAAATATCATGTCAAAAACAAAAGTTCAGCCAAATTTCGAAACTAATCTACAAATTAGCATCAAATCATGAATTGTTAAAAAGGCTACAGATGTCAAATTGATCGTTTCTGTAAAAATAATTGACTCTATAAAATAATGGTGCTTTGGTTCGAGTATAATTTATTTTAATTACCTTATATTTAGTAGATTTAACAAGTTGACAGTATTGTTTGGCCTTGGTAAGAACGCACCAAAAAGAGGTTAACTGCACCATATTGTATAAAACTGGAAATATATTGGAATCCTTGTGCAAAAAAGACCGATTTCTCTTGACATCTGACTTACATCTGACAAAAATATTAAATCTTTATAAAAATTGCTTTCCATAGCATTGGGAACACTCATCTGTCGTGCAAACATTATCAAATAAACTTAAACAGTTATCAGATGTCATGAAAATGGCCCCCAGTGACTTACTAGAAAGATTAAAATGTATAAATAGGTTATAAAACGTTATTACTGAATATCGGGAAAATAATAACAGCCGTTGTATAAAAACGTCAAACAATCAAATGGCTGTATTTTCGACAGTGGCGCCGCCACTTTTATAACTTATCTATACATTTAAATCTTTGCTTCATATTAACGTCTACACTATTTGTAATGTACATTTGTTCTAATATTATGCATTGTTATTCCAAAAATCACTATAAAAATAATATCAAATATTACAATAACGATTAGAGTATTACAAGCATACAAATATTATTCAAGAAAATAATTTATTCTCGACCTACACAACATGACATTAGAATCTAAATTCTAGCGGTGTGTGTTATATTTTTTTAATTATTTTTATTAACTTTGAGCATAAAATGAATTATATAATTGCTTCACTCTTACACTAATAAATACATAGAAAACGTCACACTGATGTTTACTGGTAATTTAATAAATATTAATTCGAATTTTAAAAAAGTAATTTTATTCTAATAGTCCAAATTTCATATAGACCTATATTTTGTAAGTATTTGCTGGAATGACTTTGTGGCATAATTTTAAGACATTTTTTCTATGTATTAATTAGTCTATGACGTAGGAAAAGAACTTGCAGAATTAAATCAAGTATTTAGTTTAAGAGTTTTCTTAAACATATGTATATATATATTTCGGAAATTTTAATAATTTATCGACAATTTTTATTGCTTTTTAAACATCAATTTATCATTATTTTTGAAATATTAGGATTCATCAAAATATATTTCTATATCTATATCTAGTGATATCATCTTTTTAAGTCATTTCATATCATCGGAGACGATTTAAAGTGTATAATTCACACAAATATTAAAGAACCTCCAATCGTTTCTCTATTTTTGGGTTTTTTATAATTTCAAGGATCAAGAACATTTGAGCGAACTATAATAATTAAAGCATAAATCAATGAAGGTCAATGTCAAAGTATATTGAACTTGTACTACTATTTCTAACCTAGTTCTTGTTTTTAAATCATGAAACATTATCGCTAAATCGAGTATCACATGTGTAAAAAAATATAAAATAAAAAAAAAAACAATCCATAGACTCGCAGCGGCGATAAATCTACATTTACAATTTTTAAAGCCGAGAAATAAATTATAGATATATTATCTATTACCATTGAAAAATTTGTACATTAAATCACAAAAAACTGAATTTCTCAGCCACGCTATCACACATCAAACATTCACAACAAGACTACCATAGACAATATATTTCTATGAATAGATTACTGCGAGTCTTACCAAAAGTTACTAATCTGTCTATGGTACTTATAGATGAACACCACTATACACACCATAGACAAAATAGAACTTCTTTACTGTTAATTTTACCGATCACCTGCATGTTTTTTCAGGTACCATAGACAATATCAAGTTTCTATAAACATATACTCCTGCAAGCCACTACATATACCGTAGACAATATAGAATTTCTATACTAGCAGTATCAGCAGCTTGTGGCACTATAGTCCATGTGATATGGAGGGGGAGAGTTTCTCCCTATTCTTTGCGCGTGCGCATTGCGAGTTGCTGGCGGTGTTGAGAGAGCCCGACCAGTCCGCCAACGTCGGCATCGGCTTGTAGAATTTGCTCGACGTCCTGTTGAACACTGGGAGGAGTTCGTTCGCTTCGTTTGATAAAGCCTGTAAAAGATTTAAATACATTTAGATATAGCTGGATATACAAAGATTTATGAACGTTGTAAATTCTTCTAAGGGTGTGCTAAATTACGACTCAGTATCGACTGGATCACGCTTTAACATGATACAGACTGGATATTTCAAATCTGACGGTGAAATGTACCACTTGGCCATGATTGCATCCGCGCGGAATTATAAAAATCTAGTAATAACCATAGCTTATGTGCCTATTCAAATCGGTTCAGTCGTTTTGGAGCCAAAACCAACAAAACATCTTATAATTATAACGTTATTATAAATGCAAAAGTTTGGATGGATGGATTTTTGTTTGAAAGTATCTCCGGAACGGCTGATCTGATCTTGCTGAAAATTGGCATTTTCAATTAATTCACATAAATTATTTATTGTTTTTATTTCATTCTTATTAATTTCTTTTTGTATTGGCAACATTCAAATTATTATAAACTTTTTCCTATGCTGGCAGCAATTGTTCATTGGAGATTCGTTGGATATATGTGTGCTACCAGAACGCGCGCTATTTTTCTTATTTTTATTATCTAGTAACTATTCAATAAATAGTTAATAAAGCACACGACCACTTGTTTAATTGTACAGGCATGCACATAAAATATAGTCTGGAAGTACACATAGGCACTAATTATATTTTTTTAATTCCACGAGGACGAAGTCGAGGGCGACAGCTAATATTATAATAGTATAAATTTACTTTTGATAAGTATGTTTTTAAATAACTTTACAAATGCGTGGATAAATAAAACGGATTATCTTCAATTGCAACTCAAATATTTTCATATCAATGAGTGAAGAACTTTATAGATAAGTTAAGAAAGGAATTATCAATACGCATATTTGTTTAAAATGTCAATATCAGTTTAACCTTGAAGATTATTTCTGACAAGGATGATCTAGTTATAGTCGTAAACAACATTACGAGCTATTACAATGTCATTCCATATTTATTTATAAAAGACTAGGTTCTACATTTATGCCAAAAATCTGTGAGATCCATGCAGTCGTTCTGGAGATACCCTCTTACAAACATCCATCCATACATCCAAACATTCGTATTTATAAATAAAATTTACAACTTTGTACCAATATCAAGAAAGCAAGGTCTATATCCGGTTATACATAAAAATCTTAGAACTCGTATGAAAACCATATCGGTTACAGTCATTTTCATATAACTTAAAGGCTTTTAACTACACGAGTCTTTGCGTGGAATACAACTTTAGGTTATGCGGTGGAGGGCCAGTGCCCTGCTCAGTAGCAGTGGGCCTAAGACCTTGAGCCGGCATGGTATTTGAAGAGAACTATACGAAGATAACGAATGAATATTGCCGGTCTCTACGATATTGTTATAACTGGTTAATACCTTTTAAACAATTTCGAGTTTTTAATTTCTTAAATAATACTTCCTCATTTCTACAACTAACCAATAAAAACTATTTACTTGATGTATTCGCGACAACAATTCTCGTACATTCCAATTACTTGTTGACTTAGCTAACACAAGAAGTGTGGGAGATTTCGTCTTATCAGTGAGTAATTAAATTAGGGGCAATGTTCTCTGATAACATGTTTAATTTCAACGTGAAACAGTAGCAAAAAACGTATCAGTACGTCACTTGTTAACTGCCAAAGTATTAATGCTATTAGAAAGTTAAACTATTTAAAACTAAATTTGACAGTTGATTAAAAATAATAGAAAAATAATGGAGTAAATATGTAAATCAGTATCACACGGGAACCGTACACATTTCCCAGATCATATGTAGCCTGTTGTCTTCCAGACTGTGTTCTACATCTTTACCAAATTTCATTGATACCCGTGAAGCCGTTCTGGAGATATCTAGTTACAAATTCATTCAAGCATCCAAACATTACCGTTTACAATGTTAGTCAGATATACCACTGACATATTTGGTCGAGTATGCAATTAATTTCCCCTTGGTGTACGGGTTTTGCGTTTTTTTTATAACATAAGGAGGCACCTGAAATCGCTGAAATAGCGAAGTGACCGTTGCCCATAGACATACGCAATTGCATATGCGTTGCCTACCTTTAATCGACGGAGGAGAGGATGCACAGAAAGAAAATATCTTCCCTTTCCATGCATGTTCTCATCCGGAAAGTCCACTTCTACTTCCCATCCTTTCCTTATAAGAAAAAGGATGGGAAGGGAAAAAGGACTAAATTACGCATCCGGGACAAACACAGATCAGACGTAATGCGGAATTGCTTCCACTTCACGCCTGTCTTCTGTGTGGTCGTGGTATATTACCGGGCGAGTCGGGCCGATTCGTGCGAAGATGTTAAAGCGGGCTCTACCAGTGTTTCATTGTATCAAGGAGAAAAGGCAATTTATATAGATCCTGTTCTAAGTATTTGTGTTTGGGCACTCACCTTAAGGTATATGACGGCATCAGTGCCGTATCCTTCACAAGACATGAGCACCAAGTCACCGTGGAAGTACCGCGCGTACAGCCTCGATATCGGCAATCCGTACCCGTAACCTAGTAACAAAGAATAACATAAGTAACTCGAAGTAAATTAGGTTTTTATTATCTGTGGTAAATGTTGTATCTTCATTTTGTTAATATTTTTCTTTTTAACTATGACCAAACTGGTATTTAAATTTAAAATGTAATTTTTTTCTTAACACGTTCTTCTTAACACGTTTAATGCCGACTCGACGTGCGAGTTCACTTTAGAATTGTGTTAAAAAAGTAATTATTACAACACATATTAGTAATTTTTTCCAATGCTTTGATAAGAAAAAAATCAAATGGCGAAGGGAATCAACATTAATGGAAATAAAATGCTTTGATAACGGGATTTATTTAAAATTTCTGATAATCCTCTACAACTTACCATTAAGTTTTCTAGTTACAGGTTTTACTGAAATGAAATACCACGTATTCATATGGTATAAAACAATCCCTAAAAGAATAATAGAGAGGACCTCAGACAGTTCTCGACTACCGATCTTTTACTTCTTGTATAAATATATGTTATGTGTATTTTAAAATTAATTCGCTCTGTATTATTAGTTTGAATTTACATCACCGCTATCGTAAGCGCCAAAATGGCGAAAATCAAACACGCACAAAATACTACAATGTATAGCCAATCCATTAATAGTGGTTAGTGATTCACACCTACAATTGTTAACTCTTCCCGCCGAAAATCTTCTTTTTCGCCTATCTTTTTCCATAATTAAAAAGGTAAAGGTTCTTAGTGGCCAGTATGCCACTTTAGCAGAATATTTCATTCTGTACTCAACAATATTCAATGAACCAACGAAAAAGTTTTAATATATCATTCGTACTATGCAGCGTGCAATAGCAATAATGTTTAAATATTACAATATCACGTATGTTTAAGTAATTAAATGAATATTTACATAACAATTTATACACACTGTATATTTATGTCCAAAACACTGATAATGAATAGTATACGTGATCAGATAAACTATTTATTACATTACATTAATGTTTGTTATTTTGTTGTCAATGAAGGTCATATTAGTGATAATTTATTATTTATTAATTTAAATAAACTTACGTTAATCGTAGCAAGAATTTGTCGTATAAAAGTATGGGTTTTATAAAACTGATATAAAGTTGACTATTTGTTCCTAATATCTAACTTTTTTATACTTTCCATATTTCCTCTGCCCAACAAAAAACAAAACTGTAACTTATTACCTATGTTTATAAATAGTGATAGCCGCGTACCATGTGCTTCAATTTTGATATTTAAAAACAAACGATTTCGTACACACTGTCTACCACGTAACGCGATTGACAAATCAATACGAGACGATATTTTAAAATTATCAGATAATAAACTAGCAACGGCCTGTTGGATTCGACAATAGCGAAGTGACCGTTGCCCATAGACAACCGCAATTGCAAAAAACAACGGCGTTGCCTATCTTTCTATAATAGACCGCGAAGAGGACGCACAGAAAAAGAATATTCTCGTTCCTATACCCCTCTTCCGTCAAATCCATGATTCTGCTAGATTTTTTTTGTCAAAAGGGTGATGATTTTTAGATTATGTATGTTTTTGTGTTGTTTTCTTATAATGTACTTACCAGCCAGCGGCACGGTGTGTGAATCAGATTTAGAGGGCTGCGGCGCCGTGCTGTACATGTACTTGAAGAGGAGATCTGACACGCTGCGAGGGATGCCACCTCCTCGGTCCGACATCTATAAATATTGCACCATAATTAAATTCAGTAACTTATACCTCTGCTAGTGCTCTGGTTGAGATTTCTATCGCACCTTTTTTTACCATGCCTTTAGGGGGAGGGATACCACGATTGTTTGAAGCAAAGGTGACGACAATCGAAAGTCGAAAGCCATAGTTAAAGAGTGTTACCGTCTGGTATTATATGTTGAAAATTTATTTAATTGTATTACGAAGGTTTTACATGTGTTATTGTTATCATAAGCATACCACAAAGTAAATAAATTAGTTTTTTTCATAATTTCAATTTAATCCTTTATCGATAATATATAGACATAAAACATAATAGATATTGAATCAACAAACTTTAAATTTGTAAATGTCAATTGTAAACGAGAAATCAATTTTATATAAACATAATAATAAAGGTGCAAATAATATGATTACACTAAATCATACTAAATCCATTACCTAGATAATAATCATAAACCGTTTTATCCTCATATATTTTCGCAGATTTTAACGTCATAAAAATAAGTCTTATATAAATTTAAGACGCTATATAATACCTATATATGTACATGTAATTTTTTCCTTACTTTGTAATCGTCAGTTAATTACGATGAATTTCGAAATTAATTACGCCTTATATGTATCATGTAATGAACAATTATAAAATGCTTCGAAATAAATTTGTTTTTATTTTAAAATTAATTAAACATAAGTCCGATTATAATTGTTTTTATCAGATGATCACCGCTAGTCGAATCAAAAGAGACAAAAGTTTCAATTAGGCCACCGCAAGTGATATTCGATGAAAATGATAACAAGGACATTGGATATGCATTGAATAAACAGATGTCAGTCATATAAATGATCTCAATTAACATCTATCGTGTTCGATTCACGATAACTACGTATGACAGAGGCGTGATGTTTCTTATTATCACTTCAACTCGATAAAATTATAAACCATTGATATAATTAAACGTAGCAACTGGAAATGATATAAACAAATTGAAGTTTAAAGAAAAACGATGAAAATAAAACAAAAAAATTAAGATAATCAAAAGAATATACAGAAACTAGCTGTCGCCCGCGACTCCGTCAGCGCGGGATTAAAAATATATGTTGGCCGATTCTCAGACCTACTCAATATGCTTACAAAATTTCATGAGAATCGGTCAAGCCGTTTCGGAGGAGTATGGGAACGAAAATTGTGACAAGAGAATTTTATATATAAGATAAGAATAATTAATGTGTAGAAGAAGCATATGTGTTCTTCCAGGCTACGTTCTACATCTATGGTAAATTTCATCGAGATCTTGAGCCGTTCCAGAGATAACTTCTAAAAAAACATCCATCTATCTAAGTTTTTGCATTTATAATATTAGTTAGATTTTATACAACGTTTTGTCTCACAGGTATGATATTCCAAGAGTTTAATATTAGAAAGTTTAGTTATATCAAGAAAATCCTATTGTTTTCGATACTGTTGACAACCCTATTAGGTTATATCAAGGAAATACTATTTGTTTTTGACACTGTTGACAACCCTATTAAGTTATAACAAGGAAATCCTATTGTTTTCGACACAGCTGACAACCCTATTAGGTCACTAAATAATTGTTTATTTATCGATGAACGCGATGTATTATATTATTATATTTGTGTATTCCAGAATAATATCCGGTAAACATAGGAGTTATTATTGATCTGACGATAATATTAATAAAGATCTATTATAATTCGAAGATATTAGAATGCAGTAAGACTTGTAATACATATTGTTGTCTATGTTTTTTCAAAGAGAATGAAAGGGATGACAACATGTGTGAGTTTTTGTGTAATACCAACCTTAACTGAGATATCTTCTTTGCCAGTTACTAAATTGACTTGTATTGGCGGGGGTGCACTTTCGTGACACTCCATAACAGCTCGCATCGCGTTCTTGAAGAGTTCAAAAAGCATATGGTAGAGATGTGAAGGCACATATATTATAGGCATCGGACGGTCTGAGGACACTGAAAATCAGAAAAAAGTAGATAAGACAATCAAAATGTTATTTTTTTATGTGATAGTAGACGAACTAAGAATATATCCTAAAACTGTGGTAGAGTCATTATTACAATCTGTAGTAATTAAGACTGCCATACTTTTTATTTTTAATTACCATACATCCTAACCTCCTTTCTTATAGTAATCTCATTGTTGCACATTATACCCATTACTGGCGACATGTCGCCATTACCAATAAAAAAAATCTTACCCCCATTCTGGAGTAGTTCAAGTTCAGGTGATGCGAGGTAATACCGGTCGCATAGGAAGCGAGCGTTCTCGTACGCGTCACGTACGACCGCGACGACGTCACACGCTGGGTCTATAGAGCCGATATGCCGGCCTCCGCAACCCATGCCGTTTACTGACGCCTGTCTTGCCCCCATTTGTTCACCGAAGAGGAGTGCTGTAAGAAACGCTCATTTATGGACGTTGTCAAACCGATACAATAATATGCAAACGAATTTGTTTATCTGCTACACGGCTGTAGTTTACATTGTTGTGCATAAAACCTCTTCACGACAACTGAATTTGAAGCACACCAATGCAAATTTTTATATTTTTTCTAATACAATTACCAACCAATACACAATTATTGTTAATATTCGCAGCAATAATCATATAATTGTATATTTCGTTACTAAACTCTTACTAAACATTCATAGTATTGAAGGAAGTTTCTACTTGTGGAAATCCGCAGCATACAATAAATGCAAAAGTACCTAATGCGGAATAATTTGTATTGAGGACACGCAACATAGGAAGTAAAATAGTAGGAAGTATATTATTACTAAACGTTCTGATCACGTGGAAAAGGTCTATGGATAAATAGCACAAGGGCGGGTCTTATACGAGTGGACTTACTTTATCTATGGTCGACTAACTATAATATATTATGTCTAGTTCTATTCAACTACACATTAATATTTTTTTTTATATTAAAACAGAACAATAACAATATCGGGGTATAAATTGGTATTCCGCGACGGTATTTGGCCGAAAGCATTTTTACTTAGATTTCTTTGTCCGACCTCGATCTTATAATGCTTTGGAGACGCAGACAATGTTACAGTGAAGGTCAAAAAAGTTTATTGAACTTATAAATCGATAATAATATGTAATATATAACGAGTACATACTGTGCAATGAGAAAATTTAAAAATGGGTTTTATTTTAACCGTGGTTTTCAACTATCGTAACAACGATAAAAAAGTGCCATCTTATTCTTTCCCTTTGAAAAGACAGGGGCGACAATTGTATGTTGCGACAGTGGAAACCTACGGTTAAATATTACTCATAAGAAAAAACACTTACTATGCTGATTGATAAGCATCCTAATCGATATTCGGCTCATGTAAAATCGATCTAAGAAGTATTGTATCGAGTTCTCAGTGCCGGGGTCGACTTCGTGAGATTCCTTCAGCTCGAGAACACCCTGAGCCATCGTCTGCACGACATCTGCGTGTCTGTTGCGGATGTGCACCAACCTCTCGCAGAACCTGTCCAATATTGACGATCTGAGACACCAAAGTTACGATGAACGAATTGAAAAGCAAAATTATTAGTGACTGCATCGAAACGTACAAAAATATAAAAAAATATGAAAATCGAACAACCAGAATCATCGGCGCGCGCGCTCAGCGTACGGTCGCGTGGAATATATTCGAGTGTGCTTAATTAATATTAACGAAAATGGTTCAATGTAAAAAATGTAAACTTTTTGTGTCTGTGTCTAAAGACGATACAGTAAAATGCAAAGGTGGTTATGAAGTAATATTTCATAAAAAATGTGCAAAAAAAAAGGAGCGGAGTTACGAAGTAGTAAAAAAAAACATTTTGATGTCGCTTAAAAAGACAGTCAATGTTACTTAAGATTATGCGCTTGCGCATGAGAACAAATCATCTCAGGAGTGTCTTGCCGAAATTTTCATATAACATATTTTATAAGCCACTAAGCGTTGAATAAAAAAATAATATTATACCGAGTTTAACTTTTTTATTTATTTTAAATTAAGATACTCCCACAAAATATAAGTTTGCACTGTACTGACTTGTTTATAGCTTAAAGTATAAAAATAAAACCTGAAGAATCATCATGAAAGTCGTAAGTCAAGAGAAGTTATTGAGCATTGTGTACATATACACACAAAGAGCTATAAAAAGAACATTGTGACGCTGTGGCTTAAAAGCTTCCGTCTCTATTGCATAGCTGTTATCCGACGTCGTTCAAGTGAATGTAAACTCTGGACTTTAAGTCTTATGGCCATTCACATTCTAACGGTTATTTTATAATAATAAAAAGTAATTTTTGATTGATTACTTACTGGCTTAAGATAGGTGGTTCTGGCTCCATCTTCTCAAACTCTATGATCTCCTCGAACGATCGCTCATACCACTGGTTCACCATACCAACTGACGGCATCCGTAGTAGGTTCTCGGGAAGTAGCGCTATCTCTTTCATTATGTTAGCCAACCTACAAAATTAATTATTCTTTAATATTGTATTCTATATAAGTTACATCTATGTGCATTTTTATCATCGCGTACCTAAATTACTGGACAAATTTTGATAAAACTGTAAAAAGACCTGTTAGGAAGAAAATCCGACACAGTGCCGGTGTACTGACGCAACACTAGCCTTACTTAATTGTCGACGTTTATGTCCCCTCACTAATCATTCTGACACTTGACTTTGTAATAAAAGCGCGCCATTCGCGCTAAAAGATTCTAATTAATAATGTCTAAAAGTCGATAGGACACCAGAGAATGTGCCAATAAAAATTAAAAATAAAAAAAATATTTATGAACTCTTTGGCTATAGAGCACGATGATATTTTTTTAATTATTTAAACGATTGATACTGTTGACTTTGGTATCGCTATTGTCGATCTATCTAGGGAACAAATAGATATTGAGTGTCAGATCTATACCCAATAGAATTTTAATTTCATGTTCAATCACATCAATGTCTGTCCATCTTTGGGTTTAATAGAGGCAACGAACAGTTCGCAATATAACAGGTTATTGCAAAAAATAAACGAGTTCAATGTTGACATGATTTCGAAAGTTGCGCGTATATTGTTTGATGATTAATATTGTAGACTATTTAATAATGTTTTTAATTGCACTAGGGTAGGCAATTTATTTCTTCCACGTGTAAAATTGTCTAAGAAGTGCAATTATTCTAAAACAACAAAACCTCTTACATTTAACGTTTTACCAGAACGTAATTCGAACAAAAATAAACATGTGCCACATTCGAATAGCCAAATATGAAATAGCGCTGGGGACTTTAAGATCTTAGTATCTTTTAACTCACGAGTGTACGATGTATTAACCGTGCATTAACTATAAAACCGGTTCATGTAATTGATGTTTATGTACAGAAACAAAAGAAGATTTTACACCAATTTATTCGAAATTATTATAATGTAAGATAAGACAATATAAGTGTAATTAGAAGTACATAAAAGGAAATACAAACGTACCTTTTGATACAATTTAAATACATTTATAACAAGTAATTAATTAAGAATACTAAGAAGCTAGATGCATATAATTTAATTGTAACGAATACGAACCTACAGAGTATTATGATTAAAATTACGTGCAGTATTTACTTCGTTATTTTTATCTCTTTCCGAATGTCTTAATTGACTCGATGTGTATATAATTGTTTAGTAATTACAAACCAACAGTCATAATCTTACAGCTATTAAGATATACTTTTAAATATAATGTAATGTTATAAGAAACCATATACAGTGTAGACATGTTAAAATTGAGGGGAAAATGTACCATCCTCTTAGATAAAACTTAATTATTGTAGGTTTTTAGAGAGCATACGCTCAGGCGATTTCTTAACGCCGCGTTTAACTCCGCGTTAGCGACTATCGAGCGTTGATAGCTTTAAAATGTCTTATGTTTCCTACGCACAGTGCTCAAAATGCAACAAAAAGCGTCGCGATTTAGAAGCGCTTCCGTATGAACGGACACATGGAAATGGATTTGTTCTTTTTGAACACTTCAGCGCCCGTTGAAAAAACGTCTGTGCGTATGGCGGCTTATGGCTGCTAATTACATTGTGCCACGTGCTACATAGTTTTAATCTTCGTATTCATAGAAAAGCAACAAATACATGACCGAAACCGGATATATATCAACCTTGATCATTATCATTGATAACTTTCTAAGTACACTGTTTGTTTCATGAATCGATGGTTGACAATGATTAACTTAGCGCGTAATGTATCTCGCGATAATTTCAAGGTTCAGGTCGTCAAACTATCGAAGGTAGATCGTATCGACGTGTCAAAGACGTTTACGTTTGCGATCAGGTATTATGTTTCCACGTCATAACAGTACTAACGATCTGTGTCAAGGCTAAACGATACCTGACACCTGAGTTTACACTTTATACAGAGTGCGTACCTTAAAAAGTCTATCAAATCGATTGACCAATATATCCGCCGTATACTCTATGTTAATAAGGTATCATAGAGTATACAGCGGACCGAACAGCACACTCTTTGAAATTGGACCAACTGTTTAATACGACGATGACTATTTGAAAACGTATTAATGAGAAATGAAAGTGTACTAATTGGATTAACTTTTCTTTTCAACGTAGTCCGATACTTAATGTAAGGTAAAAGGTAATTACATTATTAAATTACGATTATGTTGTTAAAAACCACCGAAATAAATACGTAGAAGATAGAAAATGTTATTCTGTCGTCATGTGTGATCTATATTTGAGTACAAGAGCGCTAATAAACATTTAATTCGGCGCTGTTGAAACAATGAAACAATTCGGCGCGATCTCTTTTAATTTACGTCGTCCAATACCTACGCGTTCATTTAGCTCAATTTGATCGGTACTGGTAGGTACTGGTAGGTGTAATCGATACTGGCAGGAACTTTCCTTGTTTTAATTTCTGAACAAAACCTCACTAGTTTCTAGAATTCTCTACAATAAACAGACACACAAATAGTAACACTACGTTTGTGTTTTTATTTCCTTGATTTTTAAATTTATAGACTGATTTAAGGTAATCTTATAATTGAGAAAGTTTCGATGGATGAATGTTTGTTATTACGTATCTCCAAAACAGCTAAATGGATCTCGTTGAAATTTGGCATGGATGTACGACATAACTTGGAACACATAGACTACTAATTAGGTTTTTCTTTTAATTACAGGCGGAATTAGTAGCGTGCTAGCATTGCATTTGCAAAAGTAATCTCTCATAACAGTTTATTTAAACTGTTATGAGAGATTACTTTAAAGAACCGTATCTGCATAATTGTATTTTTGAAATTCGGATAGTCTAGACAAACTCCATCGATATCGTACGTAGTAAACAGTTATGACAGATGCGTTTCTTTGTATGAACTGAACATTGACCTACAGAGGCCTTGCTAATCTGGCTCGATGCCATCACGAAAGTGGATATTAAAGAAATTATTAACCTCACTGGTAATTCCTTCCTCAAGAACAGGTATGACTTCCTCTCGCAAGCATTTAGACCTGTAACAAGAAACAAAAAATGAAAACTAAAAAATATATTTCTTACAAATTTAAAGATGTTTACAGTTTCAGTGGTCAAACTAAACAGTATATTTTTAATTCACGGTCATATTGTTTACGACAAACATACCAATTTACAAACATTTTATATATGAACTCACTTCCTTATTCCAGAGTTTATTTACGTTACAATGACGTTTCTTATTTAGACTGAGGCTATCATGTCGGTCATATAAACTTCAAAAATATTCATCTTTATTTTGTATCCTTATTGTTTATAAGAAGTATTTTTAATCCATTTGGGTCAAATTTACTCTATATGAAGATCCCAACAGTTATCTAAAAACATATTGTTTAGAAGGCGATGGAATAATTTTTATATTCCATTGCGAGACCGATGTGATGAACAATATAAATTTATCATCCACATAAACCTTGAAGCGCACCCCAGTCAGTTTTCCGAGTCGTCGGCTCAGAAAATCAATGTCGCATTTGTACGTGGGTGTTGCGGTAATTGAAATTCTATCTACAGATCTGTGATACCGCAATGCCTAGTAGATGAGGTTACTGGGTCGAGAAGGTTCTCTTTAGCTATACGATAAAACATCAATCATTTTTTTAATCAATAATTAAGTGCTTGCTCTGTACCTCTAAAGCAATAAACGGTACCCTTATACGATCACTCTGTTTTTCCGTCCGTCTGTCTCTCAAGAACCCTTTTATATCAGGAACGCGTGAAGGTGTCAAGCTGGAATTAATTTAAACACAACAGTCCCTTATTGGTTCTTTTCCAAAGATCGCAACAAAGTTTGATAACATATCACTCTCATCAATAGCACTTTATAGCTGCGGAAACTATATCTTGTTTGTATCGTTTGCTTTTAGTAACAATACCAACAACATTGTTGTAACCTGGTCATAGTATTAGTTCTAGGCAACATTGAATGGTGTTGATAATTTCACACGACTATTACGTAAATTGCATATCGTCTACAATAGACTTGAAAGTAAAGCTATACGCAAACCCTAGCTACCGATTGAATAAACAATGAACGCATTGATTACAGTAACCGGTTCATCGTTCATAAAACCAGTTTTAATTTATTTTCGTATTTCAACATGTACCAGTTTCTTTAATATGATAATGGACGAGTTGTCAATCGTGACGCAAACGTTTTGGCAAGTCATATGATGTACGCAAGTACACCATATGGGTTCCCAGTTTAATAAATTACTGCGCATTTTATTTCGTTGGTGGCAAACCTTTAATGGTATTCATCTAACCTATATAATAAGAATCATATATAGTATACCTACCATTTTCACACATTTAAGACACTAAATAAATCCAATTACCAACAGCCATAACCATCAAATGGAAAAACAATGACTTAACACAACAAGCAAATGTTTGTCATGACGTATGGCAAACATTTGCTCAAGTATTCAAACATAGAGCAAAGTCCACGAGTTTTATGAATCAGCTGATCGGACTACAACACCAATCTCTTATTTATAAACAACAACGTCCTTCGCGTCTAGACAACCAAAAATATTTGCATAACAAATCTGGGGGCTAATAAAAGATTAATACACATCGAACTTTGGCACGTAAGGAACGAGTCTACAGTGGTTCGTATTACATAATGGCCCAACTAATGTTACTTGAAATATAAGAAAAGATACATATCTGAGCGTTGTCGTCGACCTGCTAGGAAATCGTAAGTGGCTGGCTGTCCAAGAAAAGAGTATAAAATAGCCTGAACGACTTCTTTCTCTTTCAAAAAACAATGTTTTTAAAATTAATATGACATCATTAAAAGCAAAGGCCAGAGTTTAACGATCTGAGTTTGACCGTGAACATTTGCTTGTCTCATACGCAGATGTAACGGCAAATATAAGATGCAAGGCGAAACTTTTGGGTTCCAACAGGGAAGAACCTTCATGCCCAGTCGTTTGGAGAAAATTTAAACAACATATTATGTTTATATGGGTAATCACTGAATCCGATAATTCAAAAAAATATTAACAACTAAGGAAAGTTCACAATTGTTGCAACGCAGAGATTTCAGGCAAAAGTTTTTTTTTATTTTTTAAATTCTACCATGATATGGTCTACGATTTTTCCAATCACAATTTTGTGCAATTCAAACATAAATTTTATAAAGCCTTTAGATAAATATACAAATATGGAATATTTTGAAGTAATAAAACAAGTAATATAATTCCCAAAAATCAATATAAAACTTCAAGTAATTGCACCATTAAAGTCTATTGATGGTTGGATCTACCTCATATGTCATTCAACTTGACCTAGTAAAATCGTATTATACAATTTTTTTTCGCAAATTGCGACCAATTTTAATTAAAAAAGTGAGTAACAAACACCCACTAGTATACTCTATATCTATGATATTTTGAATTAAAGTAAATTATGTGTAAGTTTCATGAATATCTGCTAATTGGTATTTTCCGAAAGTGACGAAACTCCTAAATATACAATACCAAAATATTACGTTTCATGCCAAACGCGCGATCTAATATTTTCCACGTTATTCCCATATTAAAATGGAAATACAAACAAAAATATCCATCGATCGTACTACCAAATGTCGGCCAAGATTAATTCTAGAACAGTCGACATTCACGGAAATTTCTAACCGGTACCGAAGAAAAAATAGTGCTACGTTAAATTTAACTTGCAAATGAAAATAAACAATGTGACGCAGACGGCGACGCGATATAAAAATGTAAACAACATAAAACGCAGTAGAACGTACATAATTATTAACTTTAGCGTATATAAGAACGCAGGACATAAAGGGTTAAATAGGTCATGATCAGAAGCTAAATTCTCTGGCGTGTTTCAATTGTTTTTATTCTTTTATAGGAGACAAAAGTGTGCTCTTTATTCCCGTCCTCATTAAACAAGCAAAACGGAAATATATTGCCACAAGATGATAAGGAATATGTAAATTACAATCACCTATTTCACCTTTCCCTAAGCAGGTGTCAAACAAGGTTAAACAAATATATAGAATACAGAAATAGTTCGCTGTCGCTACGTCACGCAACAATTATCACAATGTTCGAGATTACGCTAGATCAAGGCGCAACGTCACGCGTGCCAGCTGTTGCCGATCCTGACAGAGTTCAAAGTCCTCTAACTAAACAGAAGCTTGCCGTCTTAGTATTGCGTAAAATGCTAAATAGCTTTCTAAATACTTCATTCGTAGCATTATTTGTTAACATTCTATTATAGGACCAAATCTCATGGAAAGAATATAGAACTGAGTTTTGTGGTAGTATCTTGTTCAAGATATTGTAAGGTACAAAAGAAGTATTAGCCTAAAATAAGAACGTTTACACAGTACTAGTAATCTTAAACTAAGTAGAAACAACAAGGCCCTTCCCAAACGAGAATCTACTGCATAAAAAGTGCAATAAAACAGACACAAAGGACAATAAACATGACGACAATATGATTAATTGATAAGATCATGCTCAAGCATAATGCTAGAGATTACCGTGTTTTGGATTGTGTCCAAGCAAAAAAAAACCGTTGCAAAGAAATATTTCTTTGAAACAAGTAGAAATTTAGTAACTGGGCTATTAAATAATCAATCGAACTGTGGTCAAAAAGTTTAAATTACCTTTCCATTTTGCATTTTACAATTTGCAGTAATACATGATAACTGATTGTGTCGTCACTAGACGTAGTATCGGGTAAATATTATACATCTCATAATTTAACACTTACGTATACATTAACACTCTATCTAAATGAAGTCTCAGGTATAAAGACAACCACGCCTTCATTACCTTGAGTGGAAACACGCTAGCAGATACCAACGCGAACTTATACGTAGATTGCAGTCCATTGCCGTTTTAGTAGTTTATTTAAAAACACTATCAAACATATTACTTACAGGAACATCAATGGAATCGATCGTCTTTTCTGCAAACATTGAATATACATAGATACACATAAACATTAATATACATCGTAAACAAACACATAATACAAGGTCGACTCGAAGGACCATAAACATGTTACGACGTAATCATCACGCTCAATAAATATTAATCCCGACTTTACAATCGATGCGCTAATCTAAAGTACGCAGGTGTCATGCTTAGCATTTGTGATTCGTCCTCTTATTATATAAATACAATAAATAATATATTTTATACCTAAACTACCGGTCGGATACGACACCGTCCGCGTGGGATTAAAAGAAATCGTAACCGTTCTATGGTCTACATCTACGCCAAATTTCAGCGAGATTCATGCCCATTCTCTAGATACCTTCTAACAATCATCCATCCATACATCCAAATATTCGCATTTTAAATATTAGTAAGAAGTAAGATATAAGTAACATAATACTATGGAAGTTAAGATTGTTACCATAAAGATTATCGGTCATATATGATTTTAGGACAGTAATATAAACTTGATTTAAAACATTAGGAGAAGAAAGAATTTTTTCATATGCAAAACACTTAAGACATCTAAATCGTACGTCACATCGCAGGTAAAATATAAACAATAGCATTGCAAAAACTTCTGAGTATTGCAAAGGTCAAGCGGTCAAAGCCACAACCACACGAAGTTTACGGCCGATGACACATGTTTCGAGAATAAACATTTAGTGGAACATGTTGCGGACCACGTGATACTGCACACGAAGCCTTCGTGCGCTTCGATATTCGTACGTGTCGACTGTCACTCAGTTTCGATTACAGTTTTCGAGGAAGCCAAGATACGTAATCATCCTAATCAAATTAACCGAATTACAGTGGGTTTCTTACATCTCTATTTTGTCAAAGATAAAGACAGATATGACAATGTTTTTGTATAAAGATTTTGGCCTCAGAAACTCACGGTTTAGAGATTTAGCATATTTATGATTTTACTAAAGTAACAGAACAGCTTATAAAGGTCAAACACAAAATAAAAACTCTCTCGGTAACATTCATGATTTTTTTTAAACTAA